ATTTCTCAAACACGGCTGCGACTTCTTGAATGTATATGCGTTGTCACACCTGAGGAGTAATGCCTCGCCTCCAGTAAAAATGGTTTTCGGTTGTCTATACTAACCATACGAAACAAAGCAGTAATGAGCTACTATTATGCTGGTATTCTGTGAGAGCATGGTACTTCCCCAGTCGAGCCGACCCATTCGAGCAACATTAATATCTGCAGCATCAAGCTAGTCTGTTTCCTGGCACTAAAGTTGTTTGCTCTCTATTTCTCTGTGGTTGTCAGGGATGATCCACATACTCTGTTGAAGTTATATGTTGAAGTATTACTTTCCGCACTGATAGCCAGCTTTTTAGCTTAAATAGACTGCGTCAAAGTCTAAGATGACTTGCGACGTTATAATTAAATTATGTATACAGATAACTTGTGTTTTGTGACGGATTCCCCAAATTCTCTCCAAAAATTGATGACTATTCTTGATGAGTCCGTGCCGAAAGTTTGGCCTCAAAGTTCATGTAACAAAGACCGAAGTGATGGCTACGGGCTCCTTCCTATTCTGACCCTTTACGGATCAAGCTCAATCAAGGCGTTCTGAAATCTGTAGAGAAGTTCAAGTAGGTACTTGAGAAGCGACATAAAATCTAAATGTGATCTTGAAGCTGAAATTAATTTAAGAATCGGTGCTGCATTAGCTGCTTCCGGAAAATTGAGACCCAAGGTTTTCTGTTCACTTGGTTACCAACTAACAAATCTTTTATGTTCTTCTGAACCTTGGTGTTTGTATCGCAAGCACATACGAATTCTGGATAGATTCCATATTCTATGTAAGGATTCCAATCATACTTTATAATAACATATCCCAGTTTATTTTTGATAATATTTTATGCTTTTTCATAAAAATAAAATATTCGAAAATACTTTATTTCGAATTTTTACCATGATGCGCAAAACAAACACTTCCGTACGTAATTTTCTATCGTACTTAAGGTACAACAAAACGGAGTACATACGATTAAAATGATTATTTGTTAATCGAAACGGTGGATGTCAGATATGACATTGACAGGCGACATCTACCTGTTAGTGATAATTATCGCTAACAGGTAGATGTCACAGCAGAAACCATTAAAGACAATTGTCTGTATTGTTTTCCGTTGTAGGTTATTATGATTAAATAAAGAATCTATAGAAGTAAGTACTAATTACTTTGTGACCAGTAATTTTGATAGTAATACAATTGTCACTCCTAAAAGGGTTAAAACAATCAAATCAAAATGATTACAATAATATAAATCTATGAGGGAAAAACAATGTGATAAGAAGTCATCCTTAAATAATATCAAATAAGTTGTTTTCCTTCAAGAAAAAGGTGGCAACCCTAATTAATTATCTCCGTAATATCAAGGGTCCGACCGTGTCAGGAATATGAAAGTTCTATGCCGAGCTAACATATGAGGCATGGAGGCGCTCCTGATGTAGCGGCTGCGATGGCAAAGTGGCAAAACCCGTCATGCATTGTGGGTTTGAAGAAGACAAGCGCATGCAAGGCGACTTCTAAAACAAAACATTAACACTTTCGAAGCCAAACGCATACAATATCTTAGATGATAAACGCGAAAAACTTAAAGGCCGTCCACCTGCGGCTATGCAGTATGATTACTGCGACGGTGTTTTCACCTGCCCTAAGTGCGCTCACACTTTTCTCGCTAAGATCGGCTATGCTTGTCACTTGCGAGCAAATCAACGGGCGGAGCAGTAAGACTATGGGCTCATACGCACTATGCGGTTATCCGAAAAGCAAAAAAAATATATCACATATATTTCTATGCCCACTACGTTGCGGATACCAGCAAAGCACCTCGGTCGCTCGAAGAGATGCGGACTGAATGACAGTCAGCCGAATGGTTGCTATTCGCATCGTGCGGCTCTGTTTGCTGCTGTCTGCCATTGAGTGAGATTGTGTGCACGTGGTGCGTTTATGATGGATACCAAAAACTTTTCATCGAAATCTAGAGTCAGCCAGCAATTTGGAACACCAAATTGCCAGAATATTCTGATAAACTATTGATAATTTTAAAACAAAGAGCATGGGGAGATTTGGTGCATATTAGTCACAGTAAAACAGTCAATTTTTGAAATAAATCGATATGACGGCAAATTGCAACATTTCTTCAAGCGTAGGTTTACGTTGCGGTTGCCCGCAATCCGGTTTGCCGCATTTGCAACCGCATCCTGCAGTCAGCCGGGCCGCTAGCTGCATTGCGGTTACCCGCGTAGTGCATACGAGCCCTTAGATTTAGATATGGAAGTCAAAGACGGTCCCTGTAGCCGAAAGCGGCTAGAAGACTAGTAGTAGCTCTACCGCGTGAGAAAATAATGATGTAATTATGTGTCAATTTTAGTTTATTTCTTCTAGCCCTACGTTATTAATATCCTGCTGAAACCATGAAAATCATTGATCTCAATTTTCAGTGCTGGTTTACCACGTTGTAGGTGTAGCTCGGTCGATGGAGTTTTTTTTTTTTTTTTTTTTATAGGCTAGGGTGACAAACGAGCACACAGTCCACCTGATGGTAAGTGGTTGCTGTGGCCCATAGACATCTACATCTATCCTCGATTACAAATCAAAATGCAGATGCGTTGTCACCAGTGAGGACTAAGATGGAATGCCTCGTTTCCAGTAAAAAGGGTCTCCGGTTCTCTACACTCACCATACGAAATACAGCAGCATTAAGCTACTATTTCACGCTGGTATTCTGTGAGAGCGTGGTCCTTCCCCGGTCGAGCCGACCCATTCGTGCTACAGCTATACTACTAATATAACTGCAGCATGGCTCTACCACGTAAAGTAGAGTTAAAAAGAAAACGCTGTAAGTAAGCCTGTGTATCTGATAAATCAAAAATATTATTAAAATGCGACGGACAAAGCTGTCTTTACGTCATATCTCCAAATATGGAACAAAGCAATTGTTTTTGCAATTGGAATTACTTTTCCTGCTCAATAACCCGCTCAAAAATGAAAGGAAGGCTGTGCTTAAAGTCGTAGCGAAGTAACATTTTTAATCTTGCATGCCTTAAGCGCAAAGCGCATAGGTATGTTGTACTAGCGCCTAAAAATCAAGAATCCAACGTTTTGTCGCATGAAATCGTGTCTAACAATCATATAGAACACATAGCTTAAGAGCCAGTGGGCGTCAGACATACGGTATTTCAATAAGCTTCACGTTTTTTTTTTTCAGTTAATCTCCTACACCTCAAGTACATGAAATGGGGACTCTTTAGTTTGACCGGCGGTCGATGAAGAGACGCTGAAGTGTTAAAGGTGTAAAAAAATGACAAAAAACACGTGATAGCAACAAGTTTGCCGCTTTGACATCTTGAAATATTCAATAAAAGTTACAGAAAGATAACATTAGCAGACAGCTGTGATGGTCTCAATGTCATGGCAGACAGCTTGAAAAGTACAAATTTTTATTAATAATTTACATTATTTCATGACATTTGACATGTATAATTTTCATAGCAGACATATATTGTGGTTTTATCACCCAGGCAAACAACAAACTTTTGGGTCGTCCATAAGCGCGTAATATATTAATACTCGTTCTAATCCAGTATTAACGTATTAATACTCGCTCTAATCCAGTCATTATATTAATTTAAAAACTTATTAAAGTAATTGAAAGTAAATACTATCGTTTCATATTGATTTCAGTTAATAATAATTACGGGTTAATAAAATAAATGTCTGGTTGTAAAAATAATAAATTAAGCATACCGAATCTGCCTTATAAGGCACATACACATATTATTTTATACTATTTATTACTAACTTATTTTCCAACGCAGATAACGCTAAATACTATAATAATAAAGAACTAATTTGTGGTCGTGATGTAAAATAAGTTGACGTATTTTTATAAAATTACTTTTATTTTTTTATAAAATTACTATACTAGTTAAAATCTTCTTGTATTTTTTTAGAATGCCTATAATCACCCATTTCCATGCCGGATACCCTGATTCCGATATTTCTTTATTTTGGGTTCCATATGACCGCCTGTGCGTTCGGAATCCCGAACGGAAAAAAGCCGCTCCGAACGCAAGTATTCCATAGATTTTATTTAAATGAGTCGCAACTCGCAACACACATTTGTAAATTCCGTACAGATCGCGCCCAGTGTGGGTCGCACAACCGAGCGAATGGGTGATCTAATACATGGAAGATTATATTTTTCATGAATCTTGCACCCCTGTTACTGTTCCCTCTAGCTCATCATTAAGCGACAGTAGCCGGCAGGGCGCGGACCGCGAACTCAAAAAGGTCGTGGGTTCGAATCCGCCGTTCGACTACTGGCGTGAACCACTAGTAACACAAGCAATTTAAGCTTACTATGAGTGGTTAAGGGGAATATTAGTAATGTTTATAGTATTGTTAGTATTCTTTAAAAAAAATGATGTAAGAAATGAAATAATTTGTCGAAAGAGTTTATAGACATCCGATGGTATTTTAAAAAAATCCGATAGTATTTTTATACGTGGTAGAGCTATGCTGCAGTTATATTAGTAGTATAGTTATAGCACGAATGGGTAGGCTCGACCGGGGAAGGACCACGCTCTCACAGAATACCAGTGTAAAATATTAGATTAACGCTGCTGTGTTTCGTATGGTGAGTGTAGAGAACCGGTGACCCTTTTTACTGGAAACAAAGCATCCCATCAGGATGACAACGCATCTGCTTTCTGATTCGTAATCGAGGATAGATGACTTACCATCAAGTGGACTGTGTGCTCGTTTGTCACCCTATCCTATAAAAAAATTCTGGATAGACTCGTAATTTGGCTCTTTTTACATAATACTGGCTATCTTGTAATCTACGGTACGTATACACCAAAACCGATTTTGTCGGCCGATGGCGGACCGAACTACTCGGACGTGTATGTGCTACAGTGCCGACATCGGACGTGGCCAGTATTCTGTTGACTCTGTTGCTTAACAGACGCGTTTTTAAAATGGAGGAATTTGAAGAAATGTATCTCTTTGAAAATTCATACCGCAATTTAATTCGTCGACGTCATCGTCGGCGACATCGGCGTGTGTGGGTTAATGAAATATTTATGTACAGAAAAGAACTAGGTGAATACCATCACCTTTTTGAAGAATTAAAATTACAACCCATGAAGTTCTTCGAATATTTTAGAATGTGTTTTAGCACATTTCAATATATTCTAAATGCAGTCGAACCACTAATAACAAAGCAGAGTGCAAACTATAGGGAATGTATATCACCGACGGAAAGACTCGCTATAACATTGCGGTAAGTATAGATGGATGTAATTTTATAGATTTGTTGTAGGGTTAGTTAGGCACTTAACGACAAGAATTCTTGTGACATAATTATTAACATGTTACCTTTCACTTCAGGTACCTTGCAACTGGACATTCTTTTCGATCTTTAGCATTTTCGTTTAGAGTGTCAAATAGTGCCGTTGGAATAATTGTCAGAGAGACTTGCAAGGCTATATTTGATAGTCTAGTATCACATCATATGCCTATGCCAACCGACGAAATGATCCACCAAAATGTTGAATTATATTGGTCGAAGTGGGGATTTCCTAATTGTATTGGTTCGTTGGACGGTAAACATATTCGATTGAAATGCCCTTCTAATTCTGGTAGTATGTACTATAATTACAAGAAATTTTTAAGCTATTGCATAGCTTCTATCGCGGGCCTTGAGCGTGGGGACCGAATCCAGAAATTTATTCCGCCGTAACGAAAAAACCTCACGCTCCCCACTCCGACGGGCACGGAGGTGTGGCTTGAAGGCCGTGCATTGTCTAACGTCGTTTCTTTTCAAATCTTTTCAATTATTAAATTACAATTTAGAGATCGAATGTAAATCAAATTGATATAAGCACAGACAAAAATAGCGGAATATAAATAAAATTTTGAAAAAAAAACGATCTCAAAATTTTATTAATGTTCCGCTAATTTTATCTGTACTTACCTATGTCAATTTGATTTACATTCGATTATAATTATATTCTCAGACGTGCAGGTTTCCTCAATATGTTTTCCTTCAACGCCGAGCACGTGGTAAATCAGCACAATTGCAATTAACAATTTCATTGGTGCCGGCGGGGATCGAACTCGGGTCTGCATGTCTGAGAAATTAAAAAATATATATTTCGAAGACATGTGAAGTTCGTCAACACGCATTGAGGCAGCGTGGCGGACATTTCCTTGCCTTAAAACCCTCTCAGAAATTAGAGGAGGCCTGTGCCCAGCAGTGGGACGTATATAGGCTGTAACTTTACTTTTTTTTTTACTTTTATAAATATATTATTTTAACGACGAAAATTTTAAAGAAAAATAAAAAATAAGCAACCGACAACCTCCTAGGTCCCTAGGTGACTTGCGAGATGTCAGTGTAACAAAACAAAACGGCCCAGAAAAACAGACTTTCCAACTGATAGCTAAATCAGCACGCAACAATTTCATTGGTGCCAGTGGGGATCGAACCCGGGTTGCTCCCGTACTGTGATACTTATAACGAGCGCTAACCATGTGAGCAACCACGGCTCTCAACGACATCGTTCCGTTCGTGTACAGCGCTGAAGATAGCAGAGTAAAAAATTAGTGATTGTGGTGTTTGAAATTTGTCATCTATGAGAGTGAATTTTATCTGTGTACTCTGTAACAAATAACTATGTAGAAAAAAAATTTGAAAATGACATTTCGCCATTTTTGTTTGTGTACTGGTTAGGAACTCGATCAAAAATTTGATAGTTTTTCTGTTTTTATACGTTATTTCTAAAAAAATGTGAAAATGACTATTCGCCATTTTTGTTTGTGTACTGGTTAGGAACTCGATCAAAAATTTGATAATTTCTCCCTTTTTTATACGTTATTTCTAATGTTATTTTACATCAAATTAATTGTGAAGATATTTTCTTTTGGAAATATATATCATTACGACGATTCAAAAACGTTTACATATAATAATTTACCTCGAAATTCACTATACGCGATTATCGTTTATTGATTATATGTTGTTCAAAAAGTATTCTTATAAGTTTTTTGTGTTAAATGGATGCTAAATATAAAAGAATGCTTCATTATTGATAGCAATTTATTAACGAAATATCTGTTGAGATGTGTCTAGAAATTATTAATACTTATTTTTATTTATTTATTAAAATAATAAATAAATAAAAATCATCATCATTATCATCATCATTACAGCCCCTCACAAGTCCACTGCTGAACATAGGCTTCCCCCAAGTAATGCCACAAAGCACGGTCCTGAGCCACCTGCATCCATCGACTTCCTGCATGTCTTACCAGGTCGTCACTCCATCTAGTGGGGGGTCGCCCCACACTACGCCTACCGGTACCTTTCTTCCCCATCGGTTATCGGTTCTTCGAGCTATATGGCCGGCCCATTGCCACTTCAGCTTACTAATCCGTTGGGCTATGTCGGTCACTCTCGTTTCACTGCGGATATCCTCATTTCTGAGTCTATCACGCAGTGAAACTCCGAGAATAGTCCTCTCCATAGCTCGCTGAGCGACCTTGAGCGTCCTCATACGGCCAGCAGTGAAGGACCACGTCTCAGATCCGTAAGTCATCACTGGCAACACGCACTGGTTGTACACTTTAGTTTTCAGAGATTGAGGTATACCTGATGAGAAGATGTGTCGTAATTTCCCGAACGCTGCCCAGCCGAGTTGAATCCGTCGATTGACCTCTCGGTCGAAGTTGGACTTACCTAGTCGGACTATTTGTCCCAGGTAAACGTACTCTTCAACAACTTCGGGCATAGTGCTCCCAACAATTACCGGCATAGGTGTGACATGGACATTAAACATGATCTTTGTTTTGTCCATGTTCATTTTAAGATCGTCTATCCGTTGGGAGACACCATTGAGGTCATTGAGCATAGTGCTAAGGTCCTCCAGCGATTCTGCCATAAGGACTATATCGTCGGCAAATCGAAGGTGAGTGATGTACTCGCCATTGATGTTAATACCGTATCTTTTCCAGTCCAGTAGCTTGAAAACGTCTTCCAACGCAGCGGTGAAGAGTTTCGGGGATATAACATCACCCTGTCTTACACCTCTCTGCAGTTGGATAGGTTTCGTACTCTAGTTCTGTACTCGGATAGCCATCGTAGCCCTACTGTACAAACACTTCAGCACTTCAATATACCGACAGTCAACTAGGCACCGCTGAAGAGACTGTAGCACCGCCCAAATTTCGACGGAATCAAAGGCTGTCTCATAGTCCACATACGCCAGGCAAAGTGGCAGATTGTACTCTTCGGACTTCTGTACAATTTGCCGAAGGGTATGTATGTGGTCTATGGTACTGAAGCCTTTTCGGAAACCGGCTTGTTCGGGAGGCTGGAAGTCGTCGAGTCTGCGTGCGAGACGATTCGTAATGACTCTCGAAAACAGCACGTAGACGCGGCTCAGAAAGGAAATCGGTCTGTAGTTCTTCAATAGAGCGTTGTCGCCTTTCTTAAAGAACAAGACCACCGCGCTTCTGCTCCACGCCTCCAGAGTAATGCTACCATGGAGGACGGAATTGAAGAGCTTCTGAAGCACTTCAAGTACCGGTGTTCCACCCGCTTTCAGAAGTTCCGCTGTAATTCCATCCTCGCCCAGGGCCTTGCCGTTTTTATGGTGGTGGAGAACCATTCTAATCTCACTCAGACCGACGTCCGGGATATCATCGGAATAGTGTCGGATAAGACTTGCTCTTGGATCGTTATTCACACTTGCGTGTGGCTCCAACGATGATGTGTACAGCTGCCCATAGAACCTCTCAATCTCACTCAGAATCTCAGGTGTCCCGGAAACGATGTTGCCACTCAGTCTTCAGCTTTGACAGTTGGCTCCTTCTGGCAGACAGATCTCTGGCAAAGACTTTGGAGCCCCGGTTCCGCTCGATCGCTTCTTTAACACGAGCAGTATTAAAGTTGCGTAAGTCTCGCCGCATACATTTGGAGATCTGTCTGTTCAGCTGCCTGTATGCTGTCAAATCTGTTGACGATTGCAGCCTCATCTCCCGTCTAACAGCCATGAGATTAAGAGTGTGATCGGAGAATTTTTGTGTTCTTCTGCGGCGGGTCTTACAGAACTTAGTTCCGACCGCATGGACAGTTTCCACGAGCTTGTCATTCATATCGTCCACTGCATTGCGATCCTCTAGGCACTGAAAGCGGTTTTGTAACTCGAGCTGAAAGGTTTCGGGATTCTGGATTAGAGCGAGGGGGGACGGAGCGTTGACTTCATTAGACGAGACCTCTCCAACTTAACTTTTAGGTTCAGTGTGCCTCTAACCATTCGGTGATCGCTGCCAGTTTTTACCCTTGCGATCACTGAGACATCACTGAACAGTTGGCGTCTGGTCGTCATAATGAAGTCAATCTCATTTTTTGTCGAACCGTCGGGACTCGACCAGGTCCACTTCCTGTGGGGCCGCTTCTGGAAGAAAGAGTTCATCATAAAGAGTCCCTCTTTCTCCATAAAGTCGGCCAGCTGCTGGCCCCTTCGGTTCCGTTGCCCTACTCCAAATTTCCCCACCTTCAGCTCACCGCTTTCTCTTGTGCCCAGTTTTGCGTTGAAGTCTCCCATCAACATCGTGTTGGAGGAATGCATAGCTCGGGAAATATCCTCATACATTTCCTCCACCTCCTCATCGGGATGTGCCGAGGTTGGTGCGTAAACCTGTATGACTTAAAATATTAAATGTATACTTATTTTTATTATATAAATAAAAATAAGTATACATTTATCTATTTTGAGTACTAGTTGTTCCTTGCGATCTCGCTCGCGTGGAATATGGATTTGATGGGTTTTAATTTTTTTGCGCGAAACCCTAATTCTTTTTCTAAAACAAAAGTAGTTCAAGTTATTCCTTATATCATCAGCTATCTGCCAATGAAAGTCCCGTCAAAATAGATCCAGCTGTTTCGGAGATTAGCTGGAACAAACAGACAGACAGACAGACCGACAGACAGATAAAAATTTTAAAAATTGTGTTTTTGTTACTAGTACTTTCATATGCATTTAATAAAAAGCTGTTGTTTTAACATTACAAACAGACACTTCAATTTTATTTATTTGTAGATATAGATATAAGATATTATTCATATTGGTGTCATTTTAAAGGGAATATCATGTACTATTATAATAATAAAATAATTGTCTCCAGTAAATATTATACTTTTCTTGTAAAACTCGAAATAAAAAATAAATACGATTTATTTTTATATCCCCATATGCATATATATTTATTTTCATCCTTTATTTTTTATTTGACCAATTTTCTTTTAACAAAATTAAATTCTGAATTCGTTGAGCTTTTTGAGAATATTTTTATTTGAATATTAGGTAGGTATCTATATTAGTTTTTCAGTAGTAATCGTTTTTGTTGCGACAGTCTCGCGCGGTCGTAAAAAAAGTTACTGCGCGGACAGGTGGGACGAGAATCACTTGCGCGGCGTTGACGGTTCGGTGGATAGGTACCTACCTACTGTTATTACCTAAATACCCATAACCTACATCGGTCATTCTCAGACGGCTCAAAAAGGCGTGTCCGGGTCGAAATCCAGTACGAAATGGATTACTAACAACTTGATATTTTTTTCTATAATAGGTACGATCAAAATATTAGGAGGGGCATATGTTCTTTTTTGAATAAATTAAATATAAGTTAGTTAAAAAAATTAAAAACCTCGAAAATATTGACCTCGGTGCCGCGTCCGGCCCCATATTGCGGCGGCAATTATTTTTTATCTTTTTTTCTCCAATATTCGGCACTATTTGACATGTGTTCACAAACAACTAGATAGTTATTAATTCCATTTATAATATTACTAAATCACAATAGGCGTTAGTAGTCAAGTTACATCTGGTTGTCTTCACGTCCAACGTTTAGGTTTGATATCAGTGGCGCGCACCAATCCGTTCATATATCCCACACTCTAGTGACTTTGAGAATAGTTGTTCGAGTAATACAAACTGTCAGTCCCGCCGCATTGGTGGTAAGATCAACGCGTCTGTGCGCTACCGCGTCACTCTTTTATTGAGGTACGTAATCGTTTTCGGTGGCTTGGTATACCCCTAAAATTGATTTCGGTGAATCCATTTTATCCACAACTATTTGAATTAATATTTTTAAATTATAATAAAATTATGTCTTTTATGTATTAGATTTCAAATAAAGAGGTTAATATAAAAAAATCAGTTTATTTTTGAAAACATTTAGGATTTTGTTAATTATTTTGATTTCAGTGGCATTGATTTCGGTGTTTTCGGTGGAAATAGGTGCACCGAAATCAATTTTGAAATCACCGAAATCAATCAATCGTTATTTATTTACATTTATGATCGTAAATTTAACTTTCTTACCACCCCTTATCTTGTTTCAGTGTTGAGATTATGTCAGATTCAAAAGAAGATCGGTTGGCTAAAAAAGAGATTGTCTGAACGACGTCGGAAAGCTCGCATTAAGAGTGATCCAGAGCTTTACGCAGTGCACAAAGAGAAAGATAGACAACGGTATTATAAAAGGAAGAATGAAGGAAAGATAAAGTCTGTAAGTGAATTAGATCCTCGTCAACAACGAATTTTTAGAGAGAGAAGTAGAATATCTTCCAACAAACACAATTTGAAAAGAAGGCGTAAAGAGATGAGGTGTCTTGAAGAGGATTTAATAATCGTATCAGAAGTAACCGACAAAACTGACGATCCTTTGGTGACTTCACAATCACAAACAATACGATCAGAATTGCTTCAAACTGAAGCAAGTTCCTATGTTGATTTGCTACCATCAAGTTCATCCGTCGTTTCATTTCCTTTACCTCAGCGTATTAAGGCTTATCGAGGCTCGTCAGCACCATTGAGTCCGTCTAGTGACGTAAGTAAAATTTCAAAGCCATGTACAAGATCATCAGTTCGTGTGATTGAAAAGGAGTTTCCTCCAACTCCAAAAGCTAACAAGAAACTGAATACCAAAGTTATCATACGTAGACTTAAATACCGCATGAACAAAATATATCAGTTACAGAAAGAGAAGATTGATCAATTGAAGACTGTCAACGAACGACAGCGAAAACAGATATATAGATTAAAATACCAAGGTGCTATATTAAGAGAATATGAACATATAAGTAAAAATAGTACTGAAGATATTAAACAAAGTGAATCAGACACTATAAAAACAATTAAAAATAATGTGGAGGAGGACATCAAAACTTTTCTTGAAGAAAATTAAAACAGTCGTATGTGTTCTGGGAAGAAAGAGTTCATTACCCAAAAAAAGAATAAACAACGAAGACGCTATTTAAATGATTCTTTAAAAGACTTATATACTAAGTTTAAGCAAACAAATCCCCAAAATAAAATTAGTTACTCCAGTTTTTGCAAAAAACTACCGTTTTGGATACTGAAACCTTATGTATATAAACGAGAAACCTGTCTTTGTATCGAACATGAAAATATGGACTTGATGGTGACTGCTTTAAAGAAAAACAACTTAATTCATTCTTGAATTTTAATTTATTTTTCTAAATCTACCAAAGATATTTTGTCATCACTGTGCTGACTCTTCGAATGTGTCACATCTTTAACTAGAAAATGCGATGACTGCAAAGATAAAAGTTTAATCTATAATGAATTCAATAACACTGAAGTATTGTTTTACTGGATTTGGCAAAAAAGTAAAAAAACTTATTACAAGAATGGAGTTACAAAAACAACCACTCACACAACGAAAGATAAAGTGACTATTTTCCCCAGGGACACCATTTTAAAATTTGAAAAAAATGTTACCTTCATACATGACTCACTGTGAAAAGCGAAAAGCGACCTCACTGAGGAAGAGTGTATAATTCACTGCGACTTTAGTGAAAATTACAGCACAAAATACGGTAATGAAATTCAAGCGTTAATTTCGTGGGTAACCGACAACAAATAACCCTGCACACCGTGGTCATTTATTATCGTAAAAATGGACTTCTGAAAGTTCAGTCGATGTGTACATTATCAGAGTCTTTACGCCATGATGCACCAGCCATTTGGGAACACTTACTTCCGATTTTAAAATTCATAGAAGATGAAAATCTCAATATTCGTATACTACATTTCATTTCTGATAGTCCGTCGGCTCCGTACCGAAACCGTAAAATGTTTTATATCATCAGTAAACTCCATTGGTACTTTCCCAATTTGACTAGTATTACATGGAATTATACAGAAAGTGGCCATGGAAAAGGAGCCCCAGATGGTGTCGGTGCAACACTCAAAAGAACAGCTGATCGAATAGTTGCTCAAGGCAATGATATCACAAGCTTATCATCATTGATGACTCATCTGCAATCTGTTCAAGGTATTATAACGAAAACTATTGACGATTCCGGTATTTATGAAAAAGAATTGCTAATTCCATCCAATCTCAAGCAATTTGCAGGGACTATGAAAGTACATCAAGCAGTATGGAACGCCAATAAGCCCAACCAAATATCGATGAGAAAAATGAGTTGCGCCGAAGGTGAATGTAAAAATAATTCTGTGTCATGTGAACATGGGTATCAAGTAGGATTATACATCATAGGCGAGCAAGCTGATAGACTGTTGACTGATAGAACGAACAAGAACAAGAGTGACAAGATCAATCTGATTAAAAAGTCAAGTCAAGCCAAAAGAGGGAGTGGAGTCAGTGCAACTGAATCTAATAAGCCTCAAATTTTATCGAATATTCTAATTCAACCTGGTTGTAGCTATTCTGTTGATCTTGCTGATGAGTTCTATGAAACCAAACAGCGCCTGTCCCGTACCTTACCTTCAGACATTGGATTACATGAAAGTGACAGCTTCTGGACACGTGTTTCGACAGATTGTGAAAATATTGCTCCGACATTAATGAATGAAGTAGTCTCCAAAATTGTAAATTGTAAAGAAAGTAGTGACGAGGAATATAACATTTTTTAATTAAGGATTGAAAACTGTAATACAAAGTTTTATAAGAAGTTTATTACATTGTTAATTTAATGCTGGGTGATTATTATACCTAAAGCTTATTTAATTGTCTTAAAATCAAAAGAAAAAGTAATATTTTTATTAAAAATACAAATACTATTAGTTATGTAAGTGCCTTCTACAATTGTTGATTAAAGGATTGATTTTTAAGTGATTTTGTAGTAATTTTTTTCAATAAGTAAATTGACTGTGATTAAGCTAGATCTCGACCAAGAGTGCTAATTTTTTTTAAGTTCCTATAATGTTAGTTTAAGACTACTATCTTTAATGACATTTAATATAATAATTTAAAGCTTTCTACCAAAGTTGATTTTTGTAAGTTTTCACAAAAATTAATAAAAATGGTTACACATAAGTCTTGATAACATAAATTTTTTTGTTGTCGAATTAACCTGCAATTCTTTATAGATCATAAGTTCATAGTAGTTATCAAGTAGGCAGTAAATTTACCTTAAGAAAATTATCTTTGAAATATAAATTATTTTATATTTATTTGATTTCGGTGATTAAAATATTGATTTCGGTGGACACCATTTTTTTAAAATTAAATACCTTCTTAACCATTCGGTCTATACGATTCCCTCTTCTACTTATATATATTAAATTAACTCTAGAATAGATATTTCATGTTACTAAGGCCTAAATTTAAAAACAAAAAATGCCACCGAAATCAACCAAATAATGAGTCGCCTGATAATGACCCACATATACAACAAAATTTGACAAACTGTTGCTGCGTCGTGGACACTAAAATGTAAACTGCTTACCTACCTGCCTAAGTACGTCGGTACTAAGGAAACAGTCTTGACGGGTCACTTGTCTTGATAAAAACATGTGTTTACATCTAGTGATATTGTGTGTATATAAAAAAAAGTAAGAAGACAGGTAAGTATTTTTGAAAACAATTTATAGGTAGGCAGAACTAATTACAATTATTATCTAAATATTATAAATGCGAAAGTTTGGATGGATAGATGTATGTTACTCAATCACGCCAGAACAGCTGAAGGGATCTGGATGATATTTAGCTCAGAGATAGGTTATACCTAGTCTGGAATAACACATTTGATACCGTTTATTCAGGTATTTCGTTCCTGTGGGATAATTTTCGAGTTCACGCGTTTGAAGCCGCTGGCAACAGCTAGTACGGATATAAACTGCGATGACTGTTCCAGTTCATACTTCGGCGTCGTGAACTCTTGAGTGATCGCTGCATGACCACCCGGGGAAAACTAAACATAATAAAATAAGCAATCTATATTAGGTATCTATAGAGCCATAGAGATATAGTATAAAGCGATAACGCAGCACCTAATAATTTTGTACGAGTGGCACGATGCCAGGTGAGACAACGTGCTTTTTGGCCGCGCCCACCAATGAGTTCGAGCCCGCGACTTGTGCCACCTACGCAATTCCTTTGTATAGTGCGACGTTGCCACTCTTATTAGTTATTCCGCTTTGTAATATTTTATTTATAGGTGATATTTTGTTTATGTAGGTATTCGATAGATTCCTATAGTCTGTTTTTTTCGCAGGAGACAAAAATAACAGATAATACAGTTTTTATGATTCTGGTTCAGATTAGATTTAATTTTGGTCACTTAAATTTCGTATATTGTTCAAAATAATGAAATGAATCCACAGAATCTGCAGTTACGAAAAAAAGCAATATCATTTTAGTCTCCGGCGAAAAAAAAAGATATATATCATGATTAATTTACCAACTAGTTATTCGTTTACTAAATACGAAAAAATATTTAGACGTAATTTTTCTTCCAATCTTGCTGTACTGAATATTTACGTAGTCCTTATATTAATAATTATAATTGCATAAGTTGATACAAAATGCTATGCAATAGCTTTACCGCAGCAGTCCCCGAGTGCCACACGTCTTTTTTTACATTGTTTTACAAGCGGTTGCAAGCCCAGATTACAAATTTTTATTTATTGAAGTAGGAGCTTATGGACAACAAAGCGATGGTGGTACGTTTGCCTCTTCGGCTATGTATCGTCAGTTTGAAAATGGGTATTTAAATATTTCTAAATGTTTATCAAATACAAATACCTTGTTGCCCTTGGTATTACTAGCAGATGAAGCCTATCCTCTAAAAAGGTATATTATGAGACCATATCCAAGATGTAACCTGGGAGAGCAGGAAACAATTTATAACGAACGTTTATCAAATACCCGTGTAGTAATTGAATGTGCTTTTGGTATAATACCAAAAATGGAGAATATTGACCAAATGTATAGAAACAACTACAGAAAATGCTGAGACTATTGTAAAGTGTATTTGTTTATTACACAACATTGTTATAGCCAAAGAAGGACAACCAAGGCACAATCATTCCACAGATCAAAGGAGAAATTTAGGTCAAAGAAGTAACTATGCTTCTAGAGGGCAAAACAGAAGTACGACTGAAGTTTATAATATTCGTGAAGCTTTCAAACACTTCTTTAGTAATGAAAATATGGTTCAATAAATTATAATTTTTCAATTAATTTTATTTTAAACCCTACTGTAATAAAAAAAACGTGTGAAATTGAAATAAAAATCCATAGTTTAGTGACCTATTGGTTTTATTTTAATTAATAAGTATTATTTAGATGTACTCGTAATAATAAATGGAAAAATTATCGTAAATTCGAGTCCAAATCTGCATTAGTGATCGTGTACAAATGTTGAACGCTTGAACTAGGTATTTAAATACCTAAACACTGACAAGTTTTAACAGTCCGACAATTATGCATTTATCTCTTACTATTTTAAAACAACACGTGTCACTAAATTTTAGTGAGACAAAGTTACTGTTTACCATTGAATATTCCTACGCACATAAATATTTTTGTTTTCTTGGTCCATTCTTGTAAAATAAAATAAATAAGCAACTAAACTTATACATTTTCAATAACAATCAATGTAAAAAAAAACCTATTCAAATGGCTTCAAAAACTAGATTTTTCTATAGGATAGGGTGACAAACGAGCACACAGTCCACTTCTCTACACTCACCATACGAAACACAGCAGCATTAAGCTACTATTTTACGTAGGTACTCTGTGAGAGCGTGGTCCTTCCCCGGTCGAGCCCACCCATTCATGCTAACCATAATGGCTGTAGCGTGGATCTACCATGTAAATTGTAAATGATGAAACAGAAGAATTATTGAAATCCCTAAATAACTGAATTACCTTTATAAAGTATAATTAATACACTATAAAATTATATCTTCTTATTATAATTATTACTTTAATGAATACTACTCGACCTCTCCGTCGCAAACACACAAAACACATACACACATACGAAAAGAACAATTTACACTCAACACTTAAAAACTAACTTATATATTTAGGTTTAATTGTATTACTTTAAAATAATACTGTTTGATATATGTTTACGTAAGTTTCTTAATCATTAAGATTTCTGTTAAAATGTCTTAAATACAATCTTGGTAATTTTTTTTCCAGAATAAAGAAATTATTATTATTATTATGTTGATGATTGTGAAGGAGTCGTTTGATTGGTGGTCAGTGGCAAGTGGCCCTTCGCGAATGCGGATGTTTGTGAAGGCGTCATTTGATTAAGGGGAAATATAATGTCAAATGGCTTAGCAAGAACCTTCGTTATGCCGAAAATATTGCAGCATTAATTTTGAAATAAATATATGGTAAAGTTGAGGATTAATGTTAAGGATTATGTTAGACGAAAACACGATTTCGTAAAATTTTCTCGATAGAAAAAATATCCAAAGTTACCTCCAAAATAAACAATAAACCGCTGTTATTCATAAAATACTTTAAATAAGATCATGAAACTTTGCATACTAACTGAACTAACTATAAAGCAGTGCTTATGTTATTTACTTTTTTTAAAATACCATTATTTTCACTGTAAAAAGAAATTACCTAAACTATCGGCGTCTTGAGCTTGATTCCAGTCGCCCCGTTAGTATCGCTTAGGCTTTTGAAGGGAGAAGTTGTGTCGCTTACGATCAGAATATACATTACGCAACAGTACGACGTAAAATTAAAATGGGAAATAACCGTGATAAAAATAAGAAGCGGCTGGCTTGGCGTTAAGAAACAGGCATAAATATAATAAACCTAATGAAATAAGTGTCTAACGACCTTTCTACTTACAGTATTAGTGATTACAAACATATCGGTACATAGCATACGACGCGCGGGGAAGTGGGGGCGAAATTAGAATTTGAGCTGACTTACTCTATCCTCTTAATATCAGTGGCAAAGGCTCTTCAATATTGACAACGCATGGAGTAAATAACATATTCGATAACAAGTCTCCAGAATCGGGGCAACTTAATTCTTCGGAGTAAGGGCTTACAGGAGAATACTGTAGTTGGGTATTTTCTTCTTCCATGAACACGTCTAACAATTTTCGTTGAACCAAGATTTTTCTATTTCGTGACTTCTTTTAAGTATGGAAGCAAACTCAACAAAAAGTTACGATCAGGATCATCTGCAGATTTATCTGCTGACCTGGACTCATATAATTGAAGTTTTCTTTTTTCGATCTCTAAATACTCTTGGTCCACATCAATATTTCTCTTTTTCATAAGTCTTCCAGGTTGATTGGATGTAAAACGATGAGCTTGCGTTATAGGTACACGAATAGGTTTGGTATGTGGTCTAGTATGTTGTTGTGACGTGGAGAATACTGCTTGGCTCGAATTCGAAGCTCCTAGCTGCGACAAAGATGAAGGTCCAGGCTGCAATAAATGTGCGGGTGTGGGCTGCGACAAAGGTGAGAGTCCAGGCTGCGGTACTGTTTGTGGCTGTGATTCAGGTGAATACTTAGAAAAATAGGAGGACTCCGCAATATCTTCAGTTTCTTGGCTGGGAGGTTCAGACACATTTCCGGTTAAAGTTTTCGGTGTGATTTGTTTCGCCAAGAATAGTAACGATTCGTAATATATCCACGAAGTTAATTTGTGATCCGCCGCAGCACCGGATCTACCTGGTTCATTGCGTTTGTTATATTCTTTACGGAATTGGTCCCTTAAATTGGTTCATTTTTTTTTAATGTCTGGAATCGCTATATCCATTTCCGATGCAACTTCAGCCCATAACCGTTTCGAAACATCTCGATTATTGTGATTTTTTGAATGTTTATCCCACAAGGTTGGTCTACTAAAAACACAACTAATTAATTTTTCAATATCCATAGTCGTTTAGGTGTATAAGAACGCTGACAGAAAAAAACAGAATTAATACAGAATTATTAAATTAAACTATAAATACACTTAATTTTCTCTGTAGACGCCGGCAGTCTGGCGAGAAATCCCAATAAGTTCGGATCGGCCGTTTTCGTCTGTCATCGGACGATGGCGGTCGTGTTGGTGTACGCGCTCTCTTTGTTTTACGGCGCCTCTACACGTTGGCCAACACAGTGGCGAATGTAGTGGCCAATAGCATTGGCCAACGTGTAGACGGGGTGTTTGGGCTTCATTGGTATGTATTGGAACGATGGCCCGCAAGTTGGCGCGAGATCGTTGGCAGAGTTTGGTCGCCGCGTCCACGCGTTGGCCGCGCGTTTAGTTTGCTACAAGCTCCCAGAGTGATTACACGCATCTGATTTAAAATTTATATTCAAGCTTTGTAGGGTGGATGCCCCCATTACCAGCCTTTTAGTGCCAATTTCAACTTTAAACATTCCTACTACTTTAATTAGCGCGATTTAATTATTATTGAACATTTGTTTTAATCAATAAGCTATTTATCAAAAAAAAAATTAACGTTTTTTTACAATCAGATTATTACGACAACAATTTTAAAATGAAAAAACAAATGAAGCACGTCGTTTATACGTGGTAGAACCATGCAATTATATTAGAAGTATAGTTGCAGCACGAAGGTCGGCTCGACCGGGGAAGGACCACGCTCTCACAGAATACCAGCGTAAAATAGTAGCTTAATAATGCTGTGTTTCGTATAGTGAGTGTAGAGAACCAGAGACCCTTTTTAAAGGAAACGAGGCATTTCATCTTAGTCCTCACGGGTGACAACGCATCTGCATTTTGATTCGTAATCGAGGATAGACGTAGATGTCTATGGCCCACAGCAACCATTTACCATCAGGTGAACTGTGTGCTTGTTTGTCACCCTATCCTATAAAAAAAACGTCGACTGCTTATAATTTAATCGTGCAAGATTTCGAATCATCATCATCATTACAGCCGTTCACAAGTCCACTACTGAACATCCACCTCCACAGACTGCCGCAAAGCATGGTCCTGAGCCACTTTGCTCGTCATAAGTTTTTCATTTATGTTCTAAGTTATAATTAGTACCTATTATTAAGTCAGTGTTAATTATATTTATTGCTATTGTTTTTGTCTTTCACAAAAAATAATTAAATTACCAAATAAATTATAAGGTGTTTTTTATATACATCAAATGTCTGATAGAAATGCAAGTACATATTTTGCTAAACTTTAAAATCAAAACACAATTTTAAAACATAGACTAATCGATTATAACTCCTTTAACTTTAAAATAAGTTAAGTTCTCATTAATGGTATTTATTCCAGTTTATGATGCATGTAAAGAATAAATAAAGCTAATTGTATAATATCGTATATCTATTTACAGCCCCATTAATAACCACTATTATTTTATAATTCTTTTATAAAAACGTTAACCCCACACTAGGATTTTCTCCCGTATCGCGCAGGCAGTTTACAAACATAAATTGCACAAGGACACGCATCCAGACCCGAAACAATTATTTGTAGGACATACAAATACTTGTTCCGTGCGGGATCAAACCCGCGGCGCACGACGCAGCCACTCATTGCTGAGCCACTGCGCCACGGTGCTTATAAATTCGTCCGCACATTGGCCCGAACCGAAGTAAACTGAACGACCTTCCACTTCCAACGTGTGGACGCCGTCACAAACTCTCGGCCATTATGTTCGCCACTCCATTCGCCACTGTGTTGGCCAACGTGTAGAGGCAACATTACAAGTGTTTGATTCGATCGACGGGGTTCGGCCGTCGTTGCCCGAGCAAACTTCGGCCGATGACGGATTAGGTGTAAGCGAGCCGTTGATCGGATTTTTTCGTGCGTAATCGGACGATGCAATCGTGTTAGTGTACGCGCTCTCTTTGTTCCACCAGTGTTTGATACAATCGTCCGAGTTCGCCCATCGTCGCCCGAGCAAACTTCGGCCGATAACGGATTAGGTGTACGCGAGCCGTTAGAGTGCTTGGCCTGCAAACGCGGAGGCGGGGCGGGCGCGGTGCGACGTACTCAAACATAAAGTCTTCCTTTGAGTGTCCATAGTGGCCACGCGGGCGCGGGGAGGACGCGGCGGCGGGCGGGGGGTTATTGACGCGGGGAACGCGCAGGCAGCTCACGCCATAGCTCGTTCATCGTTCATACAAGTGGCCGTAGTGAACGCGCGGGCGGCAAGCGGTTAACCACGCGAGGAGCGGCCATCTCAAACTACATCAGGCTAACCGCGCGCGTTGTAATGGCGTCTTCCGAAATATGTAGAAGAATTAATAAGTGCAATTCAAGCACGACCTGCATTGTGGATGACGAAACATCGTCAATACAAAAATAAAAAAGTTAATTTAAGATTGTAGAATGAAATAAAATCACTACTTATTTCCTGGACATGAAGGTATGTAGGTATTTTATTTAGAAATCTTCAACAAGGAATAAAATATTTTTAATTTTTATTTTCCCATAAATACATACAAAATTTTTCCCTTATTATTCTTGCTCTTACACTGTAAGTAGCATTGGAACGACTTCCTATTCGTTTTGTTCTTTGGTGGTTTGATGGTAAAGAAATTATATTATTATAATCTACATCCTCGTTACCGTCCAAGTATCTAATAATATTATGAAGCAGACAACATGCTTTAATAATGCGGCATGCATTTTTTGTGTTCGTTTCTATTGGCTTCTGGAATATACGCCATTTTGCCGCTAAAATACCAAATGTACATTCAACTGTCATTTTTGCCGAAGACACTTTTTTATTATAGTAATCTCTTTGAGGCGTTAATGTACGCTGAGGATATGGCCGTAGTAAAAAAGTTTTTAATGGATAGGCCTCATCGCCTAGTAATACATTCGGCAGAATAACATTGAAATCGGAGAGACATGACTCGGGGGGGTACATTGAACTGTTGATTTTGTAATAATTGATTGAGTTTAGAAAAGTGATAGGTTCCGCCATCACTCTGTTTCCCTTTGCCTCCAACTTCAATAACAATAAATAGTTTTTTAGCGTCTGCTACAGCTTGTAAAACTACAGAGTAAAATTTTTTGTAATTGTAATAAGCAGATCCAGATTTCTTGGGACATTTTACTCTAAAATGTTTTCCATCAATACATCCAAAACAATTGGGAAATTGCCACATGTTATTATAATCGTGTATGTTACATTTTAGTTGGTGTTCAGTAGGTTTTGGCATATGTTGACATAAAAGACTTTTCCATATAGCATCGCAAGTATCATAGACAATTTCAGTAATGGTACTTTTTTCCATTCGAAAAGAAAAGGGAAGCGGTCTGAATCCCATACCAGTCGATAGAAATCTGAAACAAATAAGTAGGTAATATTATTAAATATTTTATCTGTACTTATGTAAAATAAATTTATCATTTTCAGTGTCTCTAATTAAAAAGAAGTGGAAAAATGTTAAAGACCATTATAAAAAAAGAATTAAAAAAGTTTCCGGCTATTAGGTCTGGAATGGTAGGCGAGTCTTCGAATTAATGACGTTCTTAAACGATGATGTAATACCAGAACCAACAAGAGGGAATTTAGACAGTGATAATGACGATGAAGGTGATAACAATAACGTATCTGAAGACATGGATCGCATGACTGAAATATCACAGGATAGCGCCACTACAACGTCGTCTTCATCCAGGCGTAAAAATAAATCAGCGACTGAAGTGAGAGACGAGTTTCTTGAATTGGAAAATAAAAAAATTAAATTGTTGGAAACGAAATATGCTGATAAAAAAACTACTGACGACTTAGAAAAAGATGAAGATTACCACTTTTTTATGAGTCTTATTCCTCAAATGAAAAGCTTCACTAATATTTAAAAGTTAAGAATACCCAATAAAATAACGTCAATAAAATGAAGCAGAAGATGAAGCAGAAATGCATACGTATATTCCTAGTCACTCACGCAATTTGACTACCACTACTCAACCGAGAGATTTGACTCCTGCTAATACTTACCATACTAATGATTTTGACGTTAATTATAACTAAGTTTTTGTTTTTTTAAGTTATACGTGTTGATTAAGTTAAGATTTTAATAAAAAATACTGAAGTATCAGTATTTTTAATATATTACTTTTCTTAATCTAATTTTTTCCAACGACAAGTGCGGTGGGTTATTGTGTAAGATGAATGATTGAAACGCAATCGTGTTCACCATAGTTTGATGTTCAAATCCGATTAACACGTATAATTCAAAATAAGTGTATTTTTATAGAGACTCCAACCCCTACAGTACAGCGATAATGACGGTACAAAGTCTAAGTGTCAATCTTGACGTGCTCTTGACTGTACCTATACTCTAGCATATGGTACAAATAAATATTAATATAAAAATCCCTCAGGTATCGTAACGTACTTACCGTAACGTTATGAATAACTTTTCAAGAGGTGGAATGCTTCGGCGAAAGTTGGTATTTTTTTTATAAGACAATTTTCTATGTTTTCTAATATATAGTCAAACGTATCCATTGACATTCTTGTATATTCAAAAAACTTTGAGGTTGAGCTCGAAATTTTACATACAGTGTGTGAAATTCTCCTTCATTTTCTCTGGTTAAATTGATATCATTAATTCCATTTTTCACTTGTAGAATTAGCCATTTAAAGTAAGAACTTTCCAGTAAAAATAAGTCTTCTTCATCCATATTATAGTTTGACAAACACTGAACACAACAACACTCGGAACGAAGCCGTACTTGACTGCGGACCTCTCGTTAGAGAGTAGTATGTTCCTTGCTGCGGACAGTCACTTCGCGGCCATACCCGCACCCACGCCGCGCCCCGCCCCCGCGTTTGATATCTGGCTAAGCACAGAGTGTTAAGGGGATGCACCCAGTAACGGTGGCAATATGTTTTCTTCTTGGCTAAATACAACAACAATGAAATCGCAATATCATCGTCCATATTCACTGGCTGAATACCTGTACTCGATGGTTGGCATCATTAAACTAAGCCTTGTCATTCCGAACGGAAAAAACGTATGTGTGTGATGTATCTACGGAATCCCGAATCGAAATTACGAAACGGAATCTCGAAACAGAATTCCGTATGTATGTGGCCGGCCTAATGTTGATTTCTGATCGTTTTAAGTTAATTCTGTTAAGTTTTAAAAATTAACAATAATTTAAAAAATGTATCTCAATAGTAATAACATAGTAAAATCTAAAAAAAAATTCTACTGCTGATTGAAATTTTTTTCTACATTTTTTCACGGTCATATTGAGCATTATGAGTCGTACACTTTTGGATTTGCCAAACTTTTTTTTTGACGTTTGTCATAAAATTAGCGGAAAATTAGAAGTAATAGTATTGTTACGAGCTTGAGGTTCGTGACAATAAAAATTGCCGATAAAATTACCTAAATTAACACTTTAATTTACTTTACACAATTAAAGTTAAAACACTAATAATTTAAACACACTAATTCACTTAATTCCACTCCGAAGCTTCGCTTGTTTCGCCCAAATCAACACTGCCTCGATCGCATCTTGCAGCGCCTATATATTTGAATCAGCAAAGAAATATCCAGAATGTTCAAGTAAACACGCGGAAGGCACCGAGCGTTCGAGTTTCGACTAGGCGCTGTCAGTTGAGCGATTTGTGATGTCATTTTCTCAATGCTCCCCTCGCTCTCGTTCCTGACACTAGATGGCGCTAGTTGACTTATTCATGCAACACTGCCCCCTCCTAAGACATGCTCGTCCCGAGCATTATCGGTCCCATAATAACGCGCCAAGCGATCCACATGGACGATCTTAGGAGTCCCTCTTGCGCCTTTCTGTAACGGCTCCGCAATGTCAAGGGCTGTTCTATCCCGTGATGCACCAACATGGTACAATTTCGGTGCTCCTCTACTACGTGTCTGAGGTCCCCGCACGGCCGCACAACTTGTACATGTACGACACCAATCCTCGACATCGTCACGATAATGGACCCAGTAAAACTGTTCTCGGACCTTCAGTAGAGTTCGTTTAACTCCCAGATGGACTCTTGAACGACCATTATGGCACAGCTGTAGAACATTCGGCACTTTAGCTTTAGGGATAACCATTTGCAAACGACAGCTGTCCCTTCGACCACTATCCCATTTACGGCACAGGACTCCATCCTGAATCAGCAAGCTGTCCCATTGGGCCCAATAGCTTTTCGTGGTTGAACTCATCGCTGAGACGTCCCTCCACTTAGGCTTGGTAGCACGGGCATTCATCCATCCCAGAATCGGCTTGATGTCCGGATCTTCCTGCTGTGCATGTCGTAGGCTGTCCTTCCACCCGTTGCTGAGATGGTCTGTCCTGAGCATCCTCACGGATACCACTTCCATACTCTCTTGCCTACTACAGTGGTTGCAATCTTCAGGACAAGGTCTTCTTGTCAATGCATCTGCGTTGCCGTGAGATTTCCCGCTGCAGTGTCTGATAGTAAAGTCGTATTCCTGCTGCTGCTGGGCGGTGCTGTTAGCCGCACTTCCTTTCTGAGACCGTTCACCTTCCCTTCCTAGGGTGTGCTTAGGGCAGCTGGACCGAAGATGGCCCCTTTCCCCACAGCCATAGCACCTAGGGCTGTATCTTTTATTGTGGTCGCGAACCGTAACTGCTGTAACCTCCCTGGCATGAGGTGAACGATGATCCTGTCGCCGCCAGGCAGTGCCGTTAGCTGTACTACCCTCTCGAGATCGATCAACTCTCCTTTCCACGGTTAGTTTAGGGCAGCTGGATCGAAGATGGCCCTTTTCCCCACAGCCATAGCACCTTGGGCTGTATCCTTTGTTGCGGTCGCGAACTGTAGCTGCTGCAACCTCCCTGACGCGATGGGAACGATGATCCTGCCGCACGGCTTCCACTTCCAGTGCATGGGCCAAGGCGTCCTTAAGCGTCTCGTGGTGCCCGAGCCTCACAGCAGCTCTGACTTCCAGGTCGCGGATGCCGTCGATGAATGTCTGCACCAGGTTCCCTTCAATGAGCGCAGGTACAGACCGGTATGCTTTTCGCACCAGCTTCTCCACTTCTAGAGCCCACTGCTGCAGGTTTTCGTTGATGCGCTGCACACGATCTTTAAGCTGCGCACGAAAGACGTGTTCCAGGTGAGCGTCGCCATATCTCGCCTCCAATGCCTCAAGGAGTTGCTCATAAGTCACTTCCTCACCGAGAGCTTCCAGAACTGTTAAGGCCTGGTCGCGCAGGCCTAGTGTGAGAGCAGTCATGGCCTGACTTTTATTCCAGCCGTTCGCCTTCATAACAGCCTCGAACTGGATTTTGTAGGCTGACCAGGAAGAAGTCCCGTCGAATGGTGGCACCTTGAACCCACGTAGCGAAGGTGTAATAGCTACTACGGGAGCTGTAGCTCCATCTCCAAGTTTGAGTTCGTCCAGTGATTTCTTCATGTCAGCCATTACGTTGTCAACCCGATTGTTTACTTGGTCGATTCGGGTTTCAGCTTTCTCGATTCGGTTTTCAGCTTTCGCGATTTGGGTTTCAGCTTCCGACAGGCGTTTGTCATGCTGAGCAACCCTATCCTTCACCTCCTTTATCTCCTTCCCGAAGGTAGCGTGAAGGTCCTTCATGAGGAGCATCTGTTCCTCCTGTCGGCGGGCCTGTTCCTCTTGTCCGCTCTGCAGCTGCTCTTTCAACTGACGGACCTGTTCCTCCTGTCCGCTCTGCAGCTGCTCTTTCAACTGACGGACCTGTTCCTCCTGTCGGCGAGCCTGCTCTTGCAGCATCACCATCAGAGCACCTAAGTCAGGTGCTGCAGATGTAGGAGCTACCGACGGGCCTGCAACCGGTGACTGGCCCTTCGACATCTGCGGCGTTGCACCACCAAATCTTCGTTGGTCCGTCTCCTGCTGGCGTTGACTTCGGGTACGGACACCCTCCGTTTCCTCCTTAGGTAAAATCGGCATTATTTTATCCCACTTCTGACACCAATTGTTACGAGCTTGAGGTTCGTGACAATAAAAATTGCCGATAAAATTACCTAAATTAACACTTTAATTTACTTTACACAATTAAAGTTAAAACACTAATAATTTAAACACACTAATTCACTTAATTCCACTCCGAAGCTTCGCTTGTTTCGCCCAAATCAACACTGCCTCGATCGCATCTTGCAGCGCCTATATATTTGAATCAGCAAAGAAATATCCAGAATGTTCAAGTAAACACGCGGAAGGCACCGAGCGTTCGAGTTTCGACTAGGCGCTGTCAGTTGAGCGATTTGTGATGTCATTTTCTCAATGCTCCCCTCGCTCTCGTTCCTGACACTAGATGGCGCTAGTTGACTTATTCATGCAACAGTATTATAGTATACGATGATTCGTGAAAACTTGTGTGTATTTAAAATACTTTAAAAAATTGACGTATGATATGATTGCGCTCAAGGCATGCACACTTGGATTTACCAAAAGTTATTTTTTTTTACTATTATAAGCCAGTGTTCGACCACAATTCCACCTGATTGTATTCAGACTGAAAGATAGACGGCGGCAAATTATTCCACTCCTTTGGTGTACGCATTGCAAAAGAAGAAGCAAACCGTTTGTTTCTAATGTGTGGAATATCGACAAAAAAGGGATGAAGACCCACCGATCGCCTGGTTGTCCGATGGTGGAAAGGAGAGGGAGGAATTAAAGCGTTTAATTCCTGCGCACACTCTCCGAAATGCATCCTATAAAATACTGAGAGGCTGGCTACTCTGTGCCTGTGCTCGAGGCTGACTAGATTGGTTTAACCAAATCAACTCAACCAAATCACCGGGACCAACACCACCAACCTTCTCGATCTGCTCGTTGTCAGATCAATCGGAGATTTTAAGAAAAGGTGAG